GAAAGAGTGCCTATTTGAAATGACTCCATTTCTACACACAGGATCTGCCCATTCCTGCAAAGGTCTCCTACTCCCTAGTCTGCAAGACTGCGATTCCTCCAGCATGGGCAGGGGAGTTTATAGATGGTGTCACATGAGCTGTGGGACACAATTTCTCATCTTCTCCTAATGTCCAGGATGGGTTGACAGTAATGTTGAAAAAGGAGAAGCAATAAGAAGGCTGGTGGTGTTCTGAAGGTGGTAGCAGTCTTGGCAGAATCTCGTACAAGCTGCTCTTGTGCCTGTTAGCCAATTTAGTGCAACTGGAAGTGGAGAGGCAACACAATGCCATCTTCTTCCGCATTTACTGGTACCATCCAGCTAAACACTCTAGCTGACATAAGAAGAGAAAGAATGACCTACTGGGTCAGACCAGCCCTCTAGTGGTATCTTCAACAGAGCCTGCAGGACACGCTAATTAGGGAAGGCTTGCAAGCCTGGCCACCTTCTGACCTCTGTTCACCTCCTACTTCCTCAACATCTACAGTCACTGTGTTAGGGATGTGAGAGAGTACACTCCTGGCCTACAGTATATAAAGGTCTGTTTTGGACCTGTTGCCCATGAATTATGCCATCCTCTTTTTGAGCCTATTCTGCATCAGGCTAAGTTACAACTGCTGCAACAGAAAACGAGTGCATTTAGTCCTGGAGAGGTAATGAATTATGGAACACACCTTACTCAGCCATTTTTATTTGTCACTTAAATTTAGTTAAAAATATGAGTAAATGATGCTTTTGTAATGAAAGATGCTTTGGAAGCAGTACACATGAGAGGGCCAAAAATACAATTATGCAGGCAACCTTATTTCTGCCTTTTTTTAACTTCTGAGTGCCTGAATTGGACATCTTAATAACATTCTTTTTGAATTTGATTAGGATTTTTCAGAGTAATTTATATTTTTTGAAGAAAATTAAAAATCCAAATATTCCATTGGGTAGCCTTGGAGGAGATATTCCGAACACTTAAATTTAGGCACTTACTTTGGCTAATGAAGTTAGGTTAGTTCCCTCATGCTTCATCAAAGGAGGTTTCTCTGGAGCATCCTGTGGGGCAGAAATCTACATTGGGCACCTGCCACCACCTCCTCCAGCGTTCAACCCTTGTCTATATTCCCTTTACATACGGAGCTCAGGCTTGAGCTCTGGGCATTGGCCCTGTGTCATCTGCTACAGTACTGAGGGGGAACAAGACCTGTCAGGTGATTCATCAGGACCAGCTATGCCCTGAAGGGGAAGGCAAAAAAGGGTTGAGAGGAAAAGGCAAGTCATAGTTGCTGAAGACTGCTCGATGAATCAACTGGAGGATATGCTTTTTCTTCTCTACCACTCACAAAGAAGGAAGAAATGGCCAAAGATGTGAAGATTGAGGGCAGTCTTCCTGCAGTGACCATGAGACTGTGGATGCCAAGATTCTGAGAATAGTGAGCAACCCCACAAACAGCAGAATTACAACCTTGGACTTTGAAGAACAGATTTTTGCCAGTTGAAGTGGTTGATAATGTGGGAAGGGAATCGGCTGGACCGCTGGGCTCAAAATACTGTTCTAGCTGGTGGCTAATGGCATCCCTCAGGGCTCAGTGCAGGGACCAGTATAGTTTTAATGTCTTCATTAATGACCTGGAGGATGGAATGGAGTGCACACTGAGCAAGTTTGTGGCTGACACCAAACTTCAGGGAGCAATCAGTATTCTCGGTAGCTTCCACTCAAAGGGACCTGGACAGGCTGGAGAAATGGGCTGACAGAAAGCTCATGAAGTTCAAGAAGAGCACATGCAAGGACTTACATGTCGGTTGGAATAACTCCATGCACCAGTATAGGCTTGGAGTCTAGTAAGCAACTCTGCAGAAAGGGACCTGACCTGATAGACAACAGGTTGAACACAAGCCAGAATTATGTCCTTGTGACAAAGAAGGCCAACTGTGTCCTGGGCTACATTAGCAAGTGTGTAGCCAGCAGGTCCAGATAAGTGTTTCTTCCCTGCTCTTCAGCACTGGTGGAAGTGTGTGCTGTCTCCAGAGCGCTCTGGGCTCCCCAGTATGGGAAGGATGTAGAGGTTCTGGATCAAGTGCAGTAGAGGTCACCAACCTGGTCAGAGGATGGAGCACTGGCTGTACAAGGAAAGTCTGAGAGTGCTGAGTCTATGCAGTCTGGGAAAGATACGGCACAGGAGACACCTTATTACTTTCTAGAAGTACCCGATCAGAGGAGAGAGAGAAGATGGAGCCAGACACTTCTCAGAGGTGTACAGCAATAGGACAAGAGGCAACAGACACAAGCTGGAACATGAGAAATTCTGATCAGACAGTAAGAACCCATTTCTTAACATGAGGGTGTTCCAATATTGTAGCAGTGTCCCAGTTCTCCCTTCTGAAAGGTATTCAAGACTTGACTGGAGCTTTGAGCAACCTGATCTGATTAGCTCTGCTTTGAGTAGGGGGTTGGATTAGATGACCTCCAAAGGTCCTTTCCAGCCTAAAGTACTCTAAGCCTAACATTTGGGACCAGCTAAGTATTGGCATCAAACATCTGAGATTAAGGTGCTATTTCTTAAATCTCTCAGGTGGCTTATCCCTCAGTCAAAAAGAGTATGAGAGCAGGAAGAAGATGTTGGCTTGACCCTCAAAGCCCATAAACATTTAAAACCTTTGACTTTTAAGCCTGGGAGCCCTGGAGAAAGGCATTTAACCAGAGGAAAAAGAGGAAAGGGGAAACCTGTGAAGGTTGAAGTACGTACATCTGAACAGCTCTATTATATAGGAATGACACAAGTACTCAACAGTAGAGGTGATACGATTCTTGTGGGTTGACAGCAAAAAGAAAGTAAATATTTTCTTGCTAATCCTGGACCAAGCATGGCCTCTAAGTTTTTAAAGGCTTACTTTCAGAGTCCATTTTGGAATATCCTTCCAATCAAGACAGAAAAAGTGCTCTCCTGATGCAAAAGCTATTTTGCTGCCACATGTTCATCCTTCTCTCAAACACCAAGGGGAGTGCTAGAGCTTTCCAGAGGAAGACCGAAATATTTTCCACTAAATTTGTTTACTGAAATGATTACATCATTTTCTCTGAAGCTTGAATAAAGTAAAGAGAATTGTCCTGAGGGTGATACCTCACATACGCAGTTTCAGTCTGAGTAGCTGATGTCTAGCATAGTTATAAGTAGCCAAAAAGTTCTTATATCAAGCGGTACCCAGCAACCTACATAACAGCATACTGCTACTGGCCTTACCTATAATAATCCACTGAGCTTATCAGTGACAGCTGTGTAAAATGACACCAATAATTACCAGCATTTGTCAGCTTTTACTTCAGTAATTTAACAGTTTCCACACAAAACATAGAATACATGTTTCTCATGGAAGATGAAGATTAAATCAAGCAAATTGTTCAATGTACTCTATAGAGGCAAGCTGCAATCTTTACACACCCACAGGATGTCTGATTAATTTTAACTTTTATTAAAGGAAAAGTGAAATTTGAGAAATAAACAGAATTAGAGACACAGCAAGCCAGAGGATTAAAAATTAAAATGCTATTATTCCTTGCCTTTCAGTGAACCTATCCACAGGACTTGTTAGTAAAGTACTGTTCAAACACTTTGGGCAGATACTGTGCAGAAAGCACGAAAAATTGCAAAGGCAGGCACAGGAAAAACTCTCATCCAGTGGTTTGTCTTGTCTCTGGAACACTTCAAGAGAAGAACTGTGAAACATAAATACAAGAAGTAAATCTTTTCCCCTAATCTCACTTCTAAACCGCATAGTGAATTTAAATCCTGAAGCAGTTAGGAACCGCAGTCTTTTCTAGGAGATTGTTTCACAGAAAACAGATTAAGCAATTGGTCAAAGAGAAGCTACAAGAACCCAAAATTGAAAATAAAGGTCTGTCAACAGCTGCCTGAGCCAAGATGCTGTTTTACTTTAAATATTTTCCTTTTCTCCTTGCTTAATACCAGTTGTGTTTTGTTCCCTTCCTAGGTGTATTTGCTCTTTTCTACATCAGTAACAAGTTCCGAACATATCCCTTCACCTTCAAAGACCGACTCATTATTTCCTACAGTGGCCTTCGAGGAGCCAGCAGCTTCTCTCTTGCATTCTTACTTCCAGTGAATCTCTTCCCAAGAAAAAAATTGTTCATTACTGCTACTCTCGTAGTTATATATTTCACTGTGTTCATCCAAGTAAGTGTATTTCTTAATGGATTGCTTTCATGTAATAGAGGTGACTGAAAGCTTCATAGTGAAGATTGCATTGAATTTACTCTTAAACTAGGACAAGCTATCCTATTCTATGGCCAGATTTAGCACTGCACTGTATAATTACGCTTTCAGGGCTTTTTAGGTATTATTAAATAACTTTTTCAGAAAGTCTGTATTGAAAATCAATGTCTTCTAAAATATTCAGGGAAAAGGGCACTTGGTGTCCAAAATCTCTTACGTTCACTCCACATGTGCTTCCTAATGCTTCCAAATTAAAAAGCATTTAACTTTACACTTCAGCACAGAATCAATCTACTAGTGGTGTATCTCAAACTGAACAGAAAACAGTATGTTCTATAAAGGATTTTGAATTTTTAACTTTTACTTTCATGCATCTTTGAGACCAAATGAGGACATTTTGAAATCCTTTGTAAAAGAATATTAAAGAAAAATAAAGTGAATAATTCAGATTTGTAAGAATAGGTGTCTACTTCAGATGTTTGGGTTATTCCACTTGGTTTACACTGCTGTACCTGGAAGAACTGGATCTTCTGGAGGTCTTGCATTCCATGCTCTGTATTTTCCTATACCATTATCTCATATACTCTCAGGTGCCAATGGGGCACTATGCACTCGTAGTTAGGCACGCAGATTTCAACAGGCTGTTTCAGAAAAAACATTTTGTTACTATTTTCCTTTTTTAAATGCTGTTCTATAGCAGTGCAGAAAAGAATTGGGAACAGCTGAAAATGGTTTCTAAGTGGAAAAAAACCCAACAAAATATTTAATTCTGAAAATGTTGAAGTAAGTGGTTTCATGATTCTAAGAACCTCACAAAGATAATGTTTTCTTTCAAGCAAGTGTTGTTTTGAAGAAGGTTGTCAAGTTACTTTACATAGTTAAAACATGTTGATAAATGCAATCTCACTTAAAAAAACCCTAATGCATAATTTTTGTTAAGTTTTTTAGTTTTAATCCTGTTCTGTAGCTTTCCATACAAGTAAAATATTGGTTTTGTGCCTAAGACAGAGCTTTCCTAATTGATTAAAATTGAATCCTTTTACTATCTTTCTGGTTTTTTGTTTTTTTTTTTTTTTTTTTTTTTTCTAAAAGATAATTAACATTTCAACTCATTCCAAATGCAGGGAATCACAATTGGACCATTGGTCAGATATCTAGATGTTAAAAAGACCAACAAAAAGGAGTCTATCAATGAAGAAATTCATATGCGAGTAAGTTTTTTGTATCAGTAGCTGGTATCCTCAACAGAAGAAGAGAAAGGGTATTCCAAAAGAGCTGGACAGAGGGAGGCATTTGGTAGCACTGGCATTCAGCGGATTTGGACGCTGAATGCTTTTAGCTACATTTGTAGGAAGCCCTAAGCATAATTTTCTAAAATATGGTATCATCTCATTTATATTCATAGTGACTATCATCTTATAATATCGTACCACAAATGTCATGGTGTAGCAGGGCCCTTACTTCTTGACACTTGTGACATTGGAGGACAGAAACATAAAGGTAGCATTTACAAAATGCAGTCCTCATCCTTCCCAGCTAGATTTGTCAGATACCTTTGTTGCCATCTTTTGACTGGTTCTAGACACACTGACACCTTAAAAGTCTTTAATCAAGTTTTATTGAACTGAAATGAGTTGAATCATTGGCCTGCAAATTTAGTTTCAAGTTATCCTGAGTAACGATCTTTTCCCCTCTCAAACATTTGCTTTAGCTCTTGAATTACCATTATACAAAATAACAGAAAGCTGCTCAAACTGACTCAACAACACTATACAAAATATATGTACATGCTTTCACTTTCACAATAGGGAATATATTTGAAATTAACAGAAACACTGTGCCTTAAAATTAAGGACATGCAGAGACATTAGCAAAATTAGAGCATCTCAACTGATTTGAATTTGAAGTGCATTTAATTCTTACTATTTCAACCTTTACACTTAACCTTGAAAGGAATTTACATTTACAACCATCACTTATAAAAATATGTATGTAGGAATTGGCTATTTTTCTGTCTCTTTCTATAATGCTAGAAACACACAAAAGATGACTGAAAATCCTGGTATTTAGCAGTGATGAGTTTACCAGTCTTGTGACAATTTGCAAAATTGTCAGTCAAGGCAAAGGTTAAAGTGTGGGGTATCTGGCCCTGTGCCCATCTCAGGGAATTCGCACATCCAGAAGGGAAACTTGGTTGACAGAACCAAGAAATTAGTTTTTGGTCTCAGTAGACAAAGAGGACCAAGGCGATTTGGATGCTCAGAATCATCTTCCATTGGACATAGTCCTTTACTTGGGCCTATATGTTGCTGGGTGATGGTGAGATTATAGCAGACTGACAGACTTGTTGCCTCCATCAAAATATTGGCACTGCAGCCAAGCATAGGAGCTGCCACAGTGGGATCTTTGCCTTGATTTTTAGAGAAATGTAGATGTTTTCAGAATTAACTCATACCCCTCCAATTAAAAAAATCTCAAAATCCTGTCAACAGTTGTGTGTTGGTGGTGACATTATTTTCTCATAGTGGCCACTTAAATTTTTTCCATGTTTGTTTCTCTAGTTGATGGACCACTTGAAGGCTGGTATTGAAGACATATGTGGACATTGGAGTCATTATCAGCTGAGAGATAAGTAAGCATCTCTTATTGCAGCCTACTATAATAAAATAAGCTATATCTAGCGTGTAAAATACAATAGGTAAATAGAACAGAAAATCAATCTTTTGCCCCATAAAGCTAAAATAGCATGAAAATATTGGGGACATGTGCAATATCTCTTTTAAAAAAGTGAACTCCTGAGTAACTGTTATCTCTTGGGAGTGCAGTGCTTGTATATTGCCTGTGAAATTGCTTCTGCACAAACAAGCAGAAAAATAAGCCTTCTGAAAGAAAAACGTAGCACAGGAACTCATGCTGCAGAAATCAGCCTAGGCGCATAGCTTTGGCATAAATCTTAGATCTGTGGCAGTGCTCTTTTAGGTCTGGGTTTAGAACAGAAGCTACGTAACGTGTCAGTGCTTCACTGACTTTTGCTGTAAGCCTCCACAGCAAATATGATCCCTTGTTGGTGAGTAGAGATTCAATAATCATTAGTCACCTGTCCTTACAAGTCTTTGCATTCAGTAATATTTAAAATAAGAGTTATCCTAGCTATGCCTAGACTTCTGTGCTGGAGTCCTCTGTCTCACCTGTCTGCACTGGACCCCAGCAATCCAGCCAGGGCAGTCTGTCGGGACACGTGGCAACTCCTTTCACGACTGGATGTCTCCCTATGGAAATCAGGAATTAAGGGCAGGAAGATGACGGCTGGTTTGCATCCAGTTCTTGTTCCATTGAGGAGTAATGATGTAATGTACTAGGGCACATACCTGGACCCAGAAGCTAAAATGTCCTCTTGGCTGTCACAGCCCAGAGATAGCTTTAGGACACCCTCTGGGACCACACCACCGGCTATGCGGGCAATGAGCTAAACAGATCCCTGTTGGAGCAGTAAATCCATTGAAATAGCTGCATTTACACATATCTGAGAAAACATTATCCCCTTATCTCACATCTACCCAACAGCTATAAAAAGAGAATTTTGTCCAAACTAGCCATAAATATAGTGTTTCAGTTCAGGGACAGATTAAAAAAAAGCACACTGTATGTGAAGACTTTTAATGCAAGAAGATTGGATTAATAGGTGTTGCTTAGACTTTTCTACGCAACTTTAAAGATGTTTAGCGTATGTACATCAGAATTAATTACCTAAGTGATGAGACTCCAGGAGGCTTTCTGTTACACAGGAAAGCATAAAGAGCTCTAATCCCAGTGAAAACATTTGTGTACCTATCTCTGCTATTAATGTATGAAAACCAGCCTTTGTTACAAGAAAACGTACAAACTCCGCAGTGCTTTTTCTAGCATTGTGGAGCACATTACCTTGCTGTGGTAAACTGGTCCTTTGAAAGAAACATATAAGAAGATCTGCTGTTGTTCTGCTAAACGCCTGCCTGAAAGCACATACCTGTTCCAAAGTGCACACACACATTCACATTCAAATTATGCCACACATTAGCGATATTTCACAATCTGCAGCATGTAAGCGCATAGTATTTTGTGGTCCATTCAATTTCTCTGTTATTCAGAATACAAAGAAATGTATTTTCTCTGCTCTAATTGTCAGGATTCAAAATTATCAGCAACATAATGGGCCCAAACTACTGTAACTGCTGGGCCATTTAGAGCCTCATTGGTGGCTGGCTGAATAGGCCAGGATTACTGTAACAGCAGCTGCTGCTGTTATGCCCTACTAGAATACAACATTTGTACAAAAGCGTGGAGACTGGCCATATTCTTTTCTGACAAATGTGGCGGTGTTATATGCAAACACACACCCAGCCCTCCTTTTTGCTTTGATTGCAGCTTGTTTCTTTCTTTTGTCTGGTGGGCTTTGCAATCTCTGTGGACCAGCAGACCATGCCAAATGTCTCCCTAAAGGTCTCCGCTCACTAGGCCTTCAGGAGTCCACAGGTGCCTCCAATTTGGATTCAGTTTCCACCACTGAATTATGTATGTGTGCATTTGAATGAAGATCAGCTTGTACCACAGAAATAAAAACACATTTCCTTTTTTTTTTTTTTTTTTTTTTTACACTTTGATTTTAATATCTCTTTTGCAGATTTAAGAAGTTTGACAATAAGTATTTGAAGAAAATCTTAATTCGGGAACACCAGCCCAAATCCAGCATTGTATCACTATACAAAAAGATGGAGATAAAACTGGCCATCGAGATGGCTGAGAGTGGCATGAAAATTTCAAAATCATCCACAGCTGCTTCACAGTGAGTACTGACTTCCTTTGCAAAGTAGGGACAGGAAGGAAGGAGACAAAAAGGAGGAAATATCCAAGGGATTTTATGACTTCAATAGAAATGTGAGGAAAAAAAAACCAGTTATGAAAAGAGAAGATGCTAGTTTGGGCTGGCAATTTGGTGCTCATCATATTTGCACTTTAACTCTTTGCTCACAGAGTGAAAATTAAAACCAGAGACATTTTCTCTGTTTCTCTTCAATGATGGGCAGTTCTGAAGAAGAATCATAAGTCAGGTGCAGAAGCCACTCTGGCTGCTTTAAATCACAGCAGTGGCTCAAAGTGGCCATATTTGTCACTTAGCTGGCCAGGGGGTTTTGCTCATCACTGCTAGGTGCTGAGAGACCTGCAGGAGAGCTTACAGCACAGGTCCCAACTCCACTATCCCAATCACAAATTTTTGCTGAGAGCACATTTCCTTGTAGCATTTGCAGTTTTTGCTACTTCAGTTTGCAGTCCTTCAAACTGTCTTGCCATATTTTGGTACTTCCATATCAAATTCATTCAATTAAACATTGAGAGCAGCCCTGCAGAGAAGCACTTGGGGGTACTGGTGGATGAAAACCTGGACATGAGCCGGCAATGTGCGCTTGCAGCCCAGAAAGCCAACCACACCCTGGGCTGCATCAAAAGAAGCATGACCAGCAGGTCGAGGGAGGTGATCCTGCCCCTCTGCTCTTGTGAGACCCCACCTGGAGTACTGCGTCCAGCTCTGGAGCCCCCAGTACAAGACAGACATGGAGCTGTTGGAGAGGGTCCAGAGGAGGGCCACGAAGGTGATCAGAGGGCTGGAGCACCTCTCCTATGAGGACAGGCTGAGAGAGTTGGGGTTGTTCCTGGAGAAGAGAAGGCTCCAGGGAGAACGTATAGCAGCCTTCCAGTACTTAAAGCAGGCTTATAAGAAAGATGGAGAAAGACTTTTCCAGGGCCTGTAGTGACAGGACAATGGGCAACAGTTTTCAACTGAAAAAGGATAGATTTAGATTGGACATAAGGAAGACATTTTTTACGATGAGGGTGGTGAGGCACTGGCACAGGTTGCCCAGAGAAGCTGTGGATGCCTCATCATCGGAAATGTTCAAGGTCAGGTTGGATGGGGCTGTGAGCAACCTGATCTAGTTGAAGATGTCCCTGCTCATTGCAGAGGGAGTGGACTAGATAACCTTTAAAGGTCCCTTCCAACCCAAACCATTCTGTGATTCTATGATTCTATGAAACAGTAATGCAACTTGGCATCAGACAGACCAGGGGATAAAACTAGTGGGATCTCCAGAGCCATCACTGAGGGAACTACCCTCTAGGAGAAATGTCTGTACAAATCTTTACTCCTGCATACTTTAACTGCTGTGCATGTATTTATCCCCACCTTGCAACCCACTGTCCATTGTGTGGGTATTGCTAATGGCACTTGCCCCAGTAAACTCTTCCCTGGGCTCCCACTAGCCACTGTGGCTGCTACTGCCTGCTCTCTGCTGCTGTGTCCTTCAGCCCCTCTCCATTTTGCAGCAACCTGTGGCAGAGCCCAGCATATTTTCTTTTTTGAATCATCGTTTCAACCCATACCAGAAAGTCCAAATACCAACTGGATGTTAAATTAAACTCTCTCTTGAAACTTTATCTTAATCATTTCAAGATTCATCTGTTTTCTTGAAACTGATGTCAGCATGCAGTGTAAGACCTAGCCCTTTTCTTTCTAAATCGTTCTTTGCTGAACAGATATTAAAAAAAGATTACGTGTCTGTCAGGCTCCTTTCTGTCTGCTTTATTCCCTTAACTGTTCTGAGCCAAGAGAAAATGTGCAAGCTTGGTAGACAGTCTATGACAATCAAACTACATTCCTCTTCTTTTCTTGAGAGAAAGAGAAAATAATACAAATTGCTCCAGTGTAGTTCAGAAATTCTCTCCTGTGCTGAGAATTTAGACTGGGAAAATATTCTATAATAAACAGATGATATGATGGACTAATTTTTGCCAGCTCTACTCCGGCTGTAGTTGAATTTTACTGTGCATCAACCTTTGATGCACAGGTTCTCCTACTGAGACAGCCTTTTTAAAAATGAAGTGTCAACTTCAAAAAGCAAAATGCAGCCTGTGTCTCAGAAACATTCTGGTTCTTGGAGGCTGTGAGAGTGTTCTAGGAAAATATATGTTATCCCAGTTCTAGTCATTAATAGGTGTCTGCTGTTGAGCACTGGAGGAGACAGGAGAGTGAGCTAGTTGTTGTTTCTTTGGTCTAAGCCAATGCAGCAGTTCTTATATTTCCATTCTCCTGAGCAATTAAGTGAACCTGCTTAAGACTAAAAGGTTTCTAAACGTATTTGTAAAGTGTTTGATTGTTATCATTGAGATAGCTTGTACTTAAAGTCTCTATCTTCAGTGAGGATACAAAAGTCTGGCCAGGAGCAAGTGGAGGTTTGAAATCAAATTCCAATGTATGGCATGTAAAGCAATATTTGCAGTGCCAGAGTAGTGAGAAAAATCTCTCACTAGCACTTCTGATCAGTTCTGCAGCTTTCAGGCACACAAGGGGAAATGCTCTATAACAATCAAAGCAGATCTCCATCGCTGTGAATTAGCATTATTCTCAGAAATTGCATTCATGCTGATGTGATTCCTGCAGGTGGAGTGGGTGTCCAATACGCAGGAAGTATTTCCAGTGAGGACTGGAGAAATTTGCCCATGGACTGTGCAACAAAGAATCCACATTTGAATGAAAATAAAACATTTTGTTATGATGTTTTGGAGAATATAAGCCTTAGAAATAAGGATAGAAATGGCAAAAGCAGAGCCAAGCAGATATTGTCAAAACTGTGTATGGCTGTTTTTTGGAGGAAATATGCCCATTAGAGAGAGATGGTTTGATGCTGATTTTACTTAATATTGGCTTCATATTACTGCAATCCTGAGTTTGCTAAGAGGAAATCATATAACGTATTAATACAGCACAGATCAGAATCAAGTGCTGGGTTGTCATTTGTGGTGGTGCAGTTGTGCAAGAGCTGTGCCTGATGAATGTTACTTCCTTCAGAGGACTAGTGAAGCCTGGTGGAGAGATCACAAAGTTCAAAATTTTAGATATAATATATAAAAAATATAGAAAAATTAATCTTACAAGGTTTGTGGAAGGCATTTTATTTTCTCCATGTATTAACTATCTCCATGCCTAATGAAGAAAGAGATACTGTCCTGGTACTCATTAAAGAGAGACAGTTGGTTTTCATGGCATATTATCATTTCAGTATTTTCTTCACAAATATATCTCCTGTGCTGTGCTTTGTTTTAACATGCTGGAAGTTTCAATAAGAAAAAAGAAACAGTTTCAATAAGGATTGCTTTATGGGTTTGGTAACATACCAAACTTGTTTGGTTTTTTTTTTTTTTTGAAACTTCTTTTTTAATGTATTGTATATTGCAAAATGCAAAAACAATCTGTTCCTTATTACCATACCTGTGCATTGTTATCGGTTGGGTAGGTTAATATCTAATCCCATGAAAAGAATACACTTTTTTTTTTATTCGTGCTCCAGAACAATACAGACTATCTTCACCATGTTTGTTCTCTTGCTATCCTAGCTCAGCTGAAACTCAGGGAATTTTATTTATTCTACTTAAGTCACTTTTAGAGCAAAATTATAAGCCTTTAAATTACTTAGGACTGGCCAATTCTGTGCTGGCATGTGGAAGGAGTCAGGTATGCAAACGGAAAAGTAAACAGATGATCTGGTGTCTTCCCAGTGGAGTTCTGCTTTCCTCTATTGAGCTGCTTTCCCCTATTTATTCCCAACTGTTAAGGTATAAAGACCTTGTGGAGACATTCAGTGAAGTGCTGACCAGAAAGACAGTTATTCTCTATGATGTCAAAGCCGCTTTCGTCAACTGTGTCAGCTCGATTAGCATTACATAAATGAGTCAAGCCTGCATTTTGTAGACCAGTACTTGTTGACAGGCTAGATTGCCATTAGTCCCCAGGGGCTTGGCTTGTCTTTGTTTTCCCCGGTGTACCTAGGGTCTCTCTGTTGTCTGAAGGGACAGCAGCAAGGGGCCGCTGACAGCAAAAAGACTGGTTTCCTTGCTGTGGAAAGTAGCATACATGGGCTGTCCCACTGCCTGGGACACGCCAGACCCAGTATGGAATAAAGGTGCATTACACCTAAGCCTGGAAACTTGGTGGCATCTCTGGATCCTCTCAGTGTTATCCCTGAGAGCTGAAAGCAAGTGAAACACCAACCAGCCAACCAACCAATCAACCAACCCACCCACCCAGCTGGCCTGGAATTGGGTGGTGGTGATGGTCTTTTTTCCCTGCTGCTAAATACCTAGTTTTGTTCTTGTTGCCGTTGTTGAGAATTGATGAGTGTCAATTAAACATTTGTTGGGAAGGATTTGTCAGGGCCAGGATAAGAGCTCTCCTCAAATCCAGAACGGAAGTCCTGTTCCGTCAGTCTGGCTTGCCAACAGCTGAGTGGTAGACTCAGGGGTCTCTCAGTGAGATCCTTAACCTACTGGTTACCCCAGACCTCTCTCTAACACTACCCTATTGTCGACTTCCCTCTTTACTTCATGAAAAAATTGGCAGATCTCAGTCTTGGTCTGATGCAGAATGAAAACACATTCCAAAACCTTGAACTATATCAGGAATTAATTAATATATTCCAGGGACTTTGGACATGGTCAAGCCACCAGTGCTCACTGTCTAATTGACGGTAAGAGGCAGTAAAATGTAGAATCCAGGCAGCTCAAATGGTCCTACAAGTTTTCAACATGTCTATGTTAGATTATAGCACAAAACAGTTGTAATCTTGTTAAACTAGCTGTAAATGCAAATTCCAACCTTTTTCTTATGTTTACATATGATCCCAGTTTAGCTTGAATCCACCTTCCTTTTTGCCATTAAAAGTTTTTAGTTTATTTTAGAGGGAGTACACAATAAATGCACACAAAGCTTTGGCAATACTGTACATTGATCATAATCCATTCTTTAATTGCACAATTTACAGGTAACACTTTAAGGACATCATTTAGCTGAATACAAAGATTTGCAAGTACATGGGGTTTTTGGGGGGGGTTTGGGTTTTTTTTTTTGTTGTTTTTTTTAAAGCAGGAATGCAAAATGGAGAAAGGAAAAAAACAGCAACAAGATGAACTCAGACTGATTCAGCCTGGATGATCACTATCTATTTCCCTTTCTTTTCCTGGGAATTCAGCCAAATGCTACCTCTGACAGACTGATGGATTTAGCAAAACCAGTTAACATTTCACAGCAGACCTCCTCCATTGTGCTGCTAGTGAAAAACGAGGCAGCTAGAAGTGACTGTGAGCTTCTTGTCACAGTTTGTTAAAAATATAAAGATGACTATCTTTGAGGTAGTTCTTTTATTTCAAATGGAGAACGAGGCTCAGTAGCAAGGAAACCCTATACGTTGTCACCACCACAGGGCAGGTCTCTCGGACTCCTTCATTGACATGTGCTTTAGTTCCTAAGGATTTGCTGCACTTTCTCAAAGGAGTTAAAACCAGTAAGACCGCAAGGCCCAGACTTCTAGACCATGCTGAAGAATGTGTTCAGACAGAGGAGGAAACTTGCAGTGACTTCCTGAACGTACAGCTGGTTGTTACCCAATCTAATCCTTAAATACGAACTTCCTTATGAAGCTTTGAGAAAGAAAAGCAGAGTTTCTGCTGCCAGCTGTAAAATGGCTTAGGGCCCACTCCGACTACCCAGTATATTGATAAAACCTGTGAAAGAGAAAATCTGACATTTTTTATTCATCTTGGTGTCACTGGTCACTGAAACACTCTTCATAGCCTTCTGTTCTAGCACTAAAAATAGATTATGCATGAGTTCATGGGAATAGTATTTAATCAACTCATTACAATCGTATTTAAACTTCTCTTTTATTTACAGGAGCGGTAGAAATCGGCATGTGCATAGGCTCTCCCCCGCAGAGGTGGAGTCCATGAGAGATGTCCTGGCACATAATCTATATCAAGTGCGACACAGGGTGTGTAAGCGACCTGCTATCGCGCGCTATTTGCAGACTGAAAGCTCTTGTTTGCCCTCCCCATATCATAGCCACGGTGGCTGATAGCACCAGGACTGGGGTCACGCTGGTGGGAGACGTGGGCCCGGAGCCCCCAGCCGCTCCGACCCAAGCCCTGGCTCGGGGCTCGTTCCTGGGTGGAAAAAAGGAAAGCTGGTTTTTTATCCATCAGCTTTTCACCCTGTCGGCAGCGCGAAAAGCCAGGAAGATCTGCGAGTGAGCTGTAGAGGTCAGGCTTCCCTCGCTGCACAGCTACCTGTGACTCAGAAACCTCCTTCCCGAGGTTGCCAAATATCCCCGGGGCAGTCTGAGGTGCCAGCTCCTCTCCCCGGGGGCCCCC